TATCTGTGTGTGTGTGTGTGTGTGTGTGTGTGTGTGTGTGTGTGTGTGTGTGTCGTGCTTGTGTGTTTCACAACACACCGATTCATACACACACACACACTCTCTTTTTTTTTTTCGCTCGCGAGCGTGTGTGTGTGTATGTAATTATGTGCGTGTGTGTGTGTGTGTGTGTGTGTGTGTGTGTGTGTGTGTGTGTGTGTGTGTGTGTGTGTGTTGAAACACAGTTATTGTTTTGTTGTGTGTGTGTGTGCGCGCGTGCGTGTGTGTGTGAGATTGTGAGAGAGAGAGCGCGAGAGAGAGAGATAGAAATATATATATATATATATTTTATGTGTGTGTGTGTGTGTGTGTTATAGAGAGAGAGAGAGATATATATATATATATATATATATATATATATATATATATATATATATATATATATATATATATATATATATATATATATATATATATATATATATATATATATATACTCACCGGCCACTCACACCTCACTAGTACTGGGTTGAACCCCTTTTGCCTTTAGAACTGCCTTAATCCTTCATAGCATACTGTACATTCAATAGTTTCCGGTACTAGAAATATTCCTTAGAGTTTTTGGTCCATATTGACATGATAGCATCACTCAGTTGCTGCAGATTTGTCGGTTGCACATCCATGATGTGAATCTCCCGTTCTACCACAACAATAGTCAGGTAGACTGTGGCGTTAACACGATGCTCCATTGGTACTAATGCCAAGAAAATGCCAGGAAAATCTTCCCCACACCATTACTACACCACCACCAGCCTGAACTGATAATACAAGGCAGGATGGATCCATGCTTTCATGCTGTTGACGCCAAATTCTGACCCGACCATCTGAATGTGGCAGCAGAAATGGAGACTCATCAGAGCAGGCAACGTTTCTCCAATCTTCTATTGTCCAGTTTTGGTGAGTCTGTGTGAATTGTAGCCTCAGTTTCCTGTTCTTAGCTGACAGGAGCGGCACCTGGTGTGGTCTTCTGCTGCTGTAGCCCATCCGCCTCAAGATTAGATGTGTTGTGTTTTCAGAGATGCTCTTCAGATGCTCTTCTCTTATTTGAGTTACTGTTGCCTTTCTATCAGTTAGAACCAGTCTGGCCATTCTTCTCTGACATCAACTAGGCATTTGCGCCCACAGAACTGCCGCTCACTGGATATTTTCTCTTTTTCATTCTCTGTAAACCCTAGAGATGGTTGTGCTTGAAAATCCCAGTAGATCAGCAGTTTCTGAAATATTCAAACTAGCCAGTCTGGCACCAACAACCATGCCATGTTCAAAGTCAATTAAATCCACTTTCTTCCCCATTCTGATGCTCGCTTTGAACTGCAGCAGATCGTCTTGACTGTGTCTATATGCCTAAATGAGTTGCTGCCATGTGATTGGCTGATTAGAAATTTTCCACGAGGAGCAGTTGGACAGGTGTACCTAATAAAGTGGCTGATGATTTATGATATATATATATATACATATTTGTTTGTTTGTTAATATTTTTGACATATGTTTATTTTAGTATGTAAGATGTTTATTACGTTAAAGTAGATTAGAAAATGTTTCTTAGTAATTAATTAAGTACTATTCTTTTAATACGTCATTAATTAAATATATAACTTCTTTGCTTTTGATTTATATATTTTTTCAAATGCTGTTATAAGTTTGTGGTACAGTACATAAATATGCTGAATGATGCTGGAACATTAATTCAGCCAGATTTTGACTTTTTGTTTTTATATAAATATTAAAACGTATTAAAGTACACACTTTACTTATAAAATCTCTTTTAGAAAACTTATGCAGACACTAAAATAGGACATCTCATGTTTGACTCCTTCACAGACCGCACAATCCCAAACTGCATTAGCTTCTAAATATATATTTAAGTTTAAAGTAAACATCAATTCATATCTTATTTATTTGAATTGTATTAATATATTTCTTTTGATAAGTTGTTTATTAGCATAAATGCAAGATTTACATTATGCAATTAACATTACATTAGCTCACTACTAACCTGTGAAAAGGCTGAAAATGGAATATCTAAAATGGAATATAAGAGAAATTATAAGCATAATTTATTCTGTACAGGAAAAATATTGACAATAAATAGATTTAAAATAAAAAACAGGACTTAGAAAGTGGGTTTTTATAGTGGTACTCTTGAGGTTTCTTGCGGTGTTGAGCTTTTATGTTTTTAGATGTGCTCAGTGCTGAAAATACAAGGCAAAGAAAGGTTTTACCGTCAGCTTTTTCTGCTGTAGTTTAAAATACAACAGCGAGAATGTTCTGGAGCGTCATGTGATGGAGAGAGCGAGCCTCTGCTGCTGTCCACATTCATAATTCACACACTTGTTCTATTAAAGTTGCAAGTGCAGCCCCTGAACGACACTGATTCACAACCAAAGAGAACAGTGGAACGCTGTTTTTCAAACACACACACACACACACACAGACACACACACACACACACACACACACACACACATCCACATAGACAGACAAACACATTGACACATACAGAAAAAAAGTGGATTCGGACATGCTGTAAGGGTGTACTCACACTATGTACAGTTGCCTTGAACCGGGCCAAAGCACGCTTGTCCCCCCTCCTGTCTCCCCCGACGGCCCGCACTCACATTACATTTGGGCCTGGGCACGCTTGCGTCATTGATGATGGGCTGTTCAGTAAGCGCTTTCGCTTAGCACAGTGGAGATTTCTCTAGTTTTATCGTTTTAATCGTTTGATAAGCAGTGACATGCAGTCAAACATTTCGCCGAACAGATCAGCTGCTTTTGACGCTCATAAACAATCATAAAGTCCTCGTGCTGCAGGAATTAGGAGGTTTGCTGAAGGTGCAGCTGTGGTGCAGTGAGGGGTTTGCGTCTTTAATAAACTATGACAGTTTTTGTTTATTGAACAGTAAGAATGATTAATTAATCCATCTGAAACAGTCCCTTAAAAGTCACGTCTCACTTTCAGTTTCGGGCTCTGGCGCGTTTTGCACTCACACACAAGCGTACCGCGCCAAAGCCCAAGTGAACCACGCTCAGCGCATTGAGCGCACTCACACTTCTCACAATCAGGGAAACAGGCCTGGGCACGGTTTGGATAGCATAGTGTGGGTACGGCCAGGGCCGGAGCAAGCTGAATTGCCGCTCTAGGCAGAGGACGATCACACCGCCCTCAACCCCAATGTGAAAACTAAAGTGACCGGTTATGAAAATGAAGTGAGGTGTCGCGGACTTCTTTTCTGCCGAACTATGCGCGGATATAACTGAGGACGCGTGGGTGCTGAGGGAGGGAGGGAGGGAGGAGGGTGTCGCAGACACCGCGCTCTCTATTCTGCCGCCCTATACGCGGATATAACTGAGGACCTGGGGGTGCTGAGGGAGGGAGGAGGGTGTCGCGGACACCGCGCTCTCTATTCTGCCGCCCTATGCGCGGATATAACTGAGGACGCGCGGTTGCTGAGGGAGGGAGGGGGTGTCGCGGACACCGCGCTTTCTATTCTGCCGTCCTATGCGCGGATATAACTGAGGACGCGCGGTTGCTGAGGGAGGGAGGGGGTGTCGCGGACACCGCGCTTTCTATTCTGCCGTCCTATGCGCGGATATAACTGAGGACGCGCGGTTGCTGAGGGAGGGAGGGGGTGTCGCGGACACCGCGCTTTCTATTCTGCCGTCCTATGCGCGGATATAACTGAGGACTCGGGGGTGCTGAGGGAGGGAGGGAGAAGGGTGTCGCGGGCACCGCGCTATCTATTCTGCCGCCCTATGCACGGATATAACTGAGGACGCGGGGGTGTCGCGGACCTCTATTCTGCCGCCCTATGCGCGGATATAACTAAAGACACGCGGATGCTGATGGAGGTGTCGCTGACGCCGCCCTCTCTATTTTGTCGTCTATGCACGAATATATCTGAGGACGCGGGGGTGTCGCGGACCTCTATTCTGCCGCCCTATGCGCGGATATAACTAAAGACACGCGGATGCTGATGGAGGTGTCGCTGACGCCGCCCTCTCTATTTTGTCGTCTATGCACGAATATATCTGAGGACGCGGATGGTGTGGGAGGTGTTGCGGACATAACTGAGGATGTGGGTGGTAAGGGAGGTATCGAGGACGCCGCCCTCTCTATACCGCTGCCCTAGGCGGCCGCCTAGGTCGCCTCTATGGACGTGCTGGCCCTGGGTACGCCCTTAAAGGGCCACGAAACCTCCCTGTTTCAGCAGGATGTTTTCACACCTCTAGTTTGAGAAGAGTCAGGAAAGTGGGTGTGTCCAGCTCAGTTTAGGTGGGAGTGTCAGGGGAGGGAAAGAGGGAAGGTTTTGCATAAAAATGGGAGTTTCCGTTTGGACACGTGCTGATTTTCGCAGA